CACTGCCACAGGAAGTGGTGGCGGCTACAAGCATGGATGGCTTCAAAAGGGAATTAGATAAGCATATGGAGCAGAGGTCCATCAGTGGCTATTAGCCACAAGGTATAGATAGGGACTCTGGGGCAAGTGATGCTCTGTCATCTTGGTGCTTGGGGGGGTCAACAGTGGGAGGGCTTCTAATGTCCTGGCCCCACTGGTGGACCTCCTGATGGCACTGGTATTTCTGGCCACTGTGTGATACAGAGTGTTGGACTGGATGGGCCTTTGGCCTGATCCAACATTGGCATCTCTTATGTTCTTATGTTCTTATGTCTGACATGGGGATTACAATTTTTCAGTGCTCTTTCACTTTAAAAAATCTCCCTGCAGATAGAAAACTGGTACAGCAAGGTGTAACAGACTGCACTTTTTAAGAGGCTTAGAAATGCTGTAGCAACATCTAAAAGACTTTGAAGAGTTAATTCTTCACAGAGACAGACAGCCTAGAGTAACAGGGTGCTCCAGGCAATCTGATTGGTTGGCATCAGCTAAGCAAAAAAAAAAGTCTTGAGAGAGCTGGGCTGCGGTCACACCAGTTGGAGCGGAGGGGAAGTGAAGCTATCTCCTCCAGAGGAATTTGACACGTAGTTGTGAAATCACACATCCCTTTGTAACTGTAGGCACAGCCTGTCACTGTGTGATCATAGAATCATAGAATGTTAGAATTGGAAGGGACCTTGCAGGTCATCTAGTCCAACCCCCTGCACTCTGCAGGAGCATAGCTGAAAGATAGCCCTACATATCTACAACATACCCGAAAGATGGTCGTCCAGCCTTCGCTTGAAAATGTCCAGTGAAGGAGCATCCACCACCTCCTGAGGCAGACTGTTCCACTGCTCAAACACTCTTACAGTTAGGAAGTTTCTCCTGATATTTAGCCGGTAACGACTCCCTTGTAATTTCCACCCATTAGATCTAGTCTTGCAATCCGAAGCAAGAGAGAATAGATCTGCTCCATCTTCTACATGACAGCCCTTCAAATACTTGAAGACTGCAATCATGTCCCCTCTAAGCCTTCTCCTTCCCAGGCTAAACATACCCAACTCTTTCAGCCTTTCCTCATAAGACTTGGATTCCAACCTTCTCACCATCCTGGTTGCCGTCTTCTGGACACGCTCGAGCTTGTCAACATCCTTCCTAAAATGTGGTGATCAGACACAACTGCAGGTGAGTCAGGGTTTTTTGGCCATTTGTTTCCCATGCACATAAATGAGGAATTGCACTTCTGCACTGAGGACCCCCTATGGAGTATGCGATGATGTGCATACTGCGTACGCGTGTGTGTGTGTGTGTGTGTGTGTGTGAAATGGCACTGAGCAGGGATGGCCTGATCAGACCATCCCAATGTTATGACAGCATGCTTGTGCAATCAGACAGAAGAAAGTCTGTCTGTGGCCCATCAGAACCCATTTACTACCAGACTTTCCCCAGTGTCTTTTAAATCCACTTCCGTAGCAGAAAAGCATTGGTTGCCAATGACTGTGGGACCCTTTCCAGATGTTGCTGTCTGATCGCACCCTTTAGATCCATCAGGCATTTGCACCTATGTTGGATCTAAAGGTGCATGTGATTGCAGCCCTGGATGCTGAAAAAAAGACAGTCAGATTCCTGCCTGTACTGTGAAGAGATGTGCACTGCGACAGTCTATGAATAGCCCTCTCAAAAGGGGGGGGCAATGCTAACAGGGTCAGATTTCTACCTTGATTGAACACAGTTTGAATTTAGCATTAGCTGAGAGCAGTTTGAACACAGACAGGAATACTGGGGGGAGAGTTTGGCAAGGAAGTACGGTAGATAGTAGAGAAGACTCCCATTCAGGCCAACGGAAAGGGGCTAGGTCTTCTAGCAAGAGAAAATTTCCTATGCAGTCAAACAGGGAGAGTTCTCTCTGAGGAGTACAGAGATCCCTCATCTGGTGTGGTTAGGTACTGCCTGTAGAGACCTTAAAAGTCAGTGAACAACTCAAGAAGAGTACTGGTGTTGCCAAGAGAAGGGGTTTGGGTATTAGGAAGAGGGTACTAGCCTTCTGGGCACCAAAAAGAATCAGCAATTACACAAATAAAGTGTATTAGAGTGTTTAGGAAAACACTGGAACAAAAGCCTCTCAACATAAAGATCTAAACAACTGTGAATAATTTAAGAACCTCTCAGGCCCCGGTCACACTGGGGGAAATAGGCATGGCCAAAGTGCAGCTTTTTTGAGCTGCACCAAAACAGACGCGCGGCGGCAGGATCAGACAGATCCCCCCAGCCGCCGCGCAGGTCCTCCCCGGCACGATCAGATGCCGGGAGGAAACCACGAACTGGAGAGTGAGGCCAGCCAGCTGCGCATGCGTGGGCATGCGCAGTTCGGCAGGACCTCACGTGCTGCGGGAGAGACGGGTGCACCGGCAATCAGACGGCCGTCCCTGCAGCGGATTTTCAGGTAGGTAGTAGTGTTTTCGGGGGGGGGTTGATGCCCAGTTTTGCCCAGAAGGAACGGATCGGGGACTGGTGTGTGCCGCTTCCCAGATGTTGCGGTGTGATCGTGCCTGCTTGATGCGCTCCCGATCCGTCCCTCTCATATGGCAAATCCTCCCATGTGACCGGCGCCATATAAGGACAAAAGTCTGCTTGTAATAGTTGGGTTTTTTTGGCCCCCCGAAGGGGAATTTTTTATTTGCATTTCTATAAAACTACAACAGAAATTGGGGAGGGAGAGTCTACAATCTATAGGAGAAAGTAAAAAGAACCTAACTAAAAACCCAAGAATGGAGGTTTTACAATGCTTAAAACATAGTTGTTACTCTTATACAGTTACTTGCAAACATGAAGAGTGCCTGCCAATCATCGCTTCTGCTGACAAAACCAGCTTATTTGACTGAACAGAGAGTAATTCCAAAGCTATAACACACATAATCACAGCCCTTAAGAAAAAATTAGCATCTCCACGCTTTACTCCCCCCCCCCAGGCAAGATCTTTAAAACCAATGTTCCCTCAGTAAGAACATTACAACACGTTTTTCTTCTTCCGTCTTCGATGTATCTTCTTTCTTCAATTATCTTTTAGTTTTTATAAGTCCGGATCTGTCCATTCATAATATAAACCAAGTTCCTTTTTTCCAGGGACATCTTCGCTTCCTTAAACGTCTTAGATCAAAAGAGTCTTTCCTTTTGTTGCAGTAACAACATGCTCATTGGAGATTCCAACCTTTCTCTTAGCAAGCAGATCTTATAAAGTTGGGGTAGCGAGCCCTTTACTCCAGAAAACCGCTTTTCGATCAGCTTGCCAATCCAGCCACAAAGAACTAAACTTTAGAGTCTCCTTACCATTCATACGTCTCTATGATCAATGTACTGTCCCTTTAAAAGTGTAGCTGCTTTTAGTACAGATTCAGGTCGCTTCTCACTTTAGCCACCAGAGGGACCACGATTCACTTTAAAGACAGAGTCTATGGTTAGGTCACGTGACCTAACTTTCCACTGTCCTCCTTCCTGAAGAAAGCATTGATCCCGCCTCCCTCTTCACCTCTCGTCGCCATCTTTTGGGGATGTTTACATCAGCCGAGAAAGAATGCCAAAGTCTCTAAGGTCTGTTTAAACGCTGAGCTTTCTTTTAGAAAAACTCTCCGCTACAGTCCATCACCACAATTTGATCAGTCCCTCCAGCCTTGCTTTTGCATTTGCTTAAAACGTCAGGAGATAGGGCGTCCCCTCCCCCCCTCCATTTATACGCTTATAGTAGAGGGACTTCACTTCTAGGCTTAAGTGTCTCATTTCAACTCACTCATCAATCCTTGAATCGATCCACCAGGTCCTAAGACGGCCCCTGGGATCACGCCAGGCAGAGAAAATCGCTAAACCTCCAAATGCTTGTCCTGGTGGTCGCTTTTAATCCAGTACTGGGAATCAGGGCAGGACCTTCAGGGCAGAGAGTAGCCCCCCTGTACCAGCTGCCAGCCGGAGGTAGGGCTCTCCAAAGCCCCCCGGCTAGAAGCCCATTCTCTATGGGCTTCATGGGGGAGCATGCACAATCACGCTCCCTTTTAATCCCCGATTCATGGCACGGGTCTATCGGCGGAACCAAGAGACACCGCCATCATTTAAAGCGCCAGAACCGGAACTGTGCTTGTAATAGTTTTACTTCAGTAATTTCAACCCAATTTCACCCAACCTTTCCCTTTGATGTTAAATAAAACCTTTTGTTATTTTTGAATTTTAAAAGTGTCTCAAGTGCCATTTTCCAGGGTTTAAGTTAACTGGCGATTCTATCCCTTCCCTCAAGTTCCTGGGCTGAGCAAACAGCCAAAATATACCTTACTGGCAGGTGGGACAGACACAGTTCCTTTTCTTCAAGAGAAGAATAAACATGTTACCAGGGCTGCTCAGTCATTAAAGGGAAAAAGAAACAGAGGGAAAGTCTTTCCTCTGAGGGAGGGAAGTGGATGGAGTCTGTCTTCGATCCAATACGACCTAACGTGGGGGCACCGTTGAATGTGTCTTTAAACTGCACTTTAGTTTTATCGCCATCTAATGAATGTTTTATATGGATTGTCTGTGTTTTAACTGATGCTTGTGTTTATGTTTTATTGTGTTTGAATGCTGCTTGTCAGTGTTGGAAGTACTCAGAACGTGGAGTGATTCAGCAAGAGTGATTCAGCAAGAGTACTTTATTAGATCAGGAACAAGACAAAGGAAACCCGCTCACAAAGAAAGCCCGCCACCAAGTACACCTAAACACACCCCCTACTCCCAATAGGCTATTTACAATAACCGGGCGACCATTGGTCTCCTGGCTGGGAAGCTAGCCCTTTGATTGGGCCGGCTAGGATCCTTCGGATCCTTTGTCTATCGACTGAAGCTACAGATGAATTGTGCCTGGCCAGCCCGGGCAAGTCCAGGCATGTCAGGCTGATGCCTTACACGTGGAAAGGCAGCAGTACATTACACCCCTCCCCCCATAGTCCAAACTACCCACATACAAAGTCCTGGAGGTATGCGGGAGACTTCCTGGGCCTTGTGGAACGGCGGAGTTCTGGGGTGCTGCTTGGGGCTGCTCCTTGTGGCCGTGGCGGGGCGGTTGGCTGCGGCGTTTCCGGCGGCGGCAATGTCGGAGGTTCCGGAGGTTCCGGAGTGACCGGGGCCGGGGCCGAGGCCGGGTTCTGCGGTTCTGGTGCGTGGACCGATGCTTCGTCGTGCTCCTGGGGCTCCAGGTCCTCGGGGTCGTTCTGGAGGACCCGGCGCCGCAGTTGGTCGATGTGGCGGTGGAGCAGTTGGCCGTCCTCGCAGGAGACCTCGTAGGAGCGAGGCCCTCGCACCCGGACCACTCTCGCGGGGATCCAGGGTGGCCCCTGTGCGTAGTTCTTAGCGTAGACTGGGTCTTCCGGGAAGAACCCTCTGGCGGCTGCGTACGATTCCGATGTCGGTTCCATCTCGGGGGCCCTGTCTGGGTGTAGACGGTCCAGCCGGGAGGTTAGGCGACGACCCATCAGGAGCTCCGCCGGGCTGCAGCCGGTCTCGGTGTGCGGGGTCGTGCGTTGGCCGAACAGGAACACCGCCAGCTTGTAGTCCCAGTCCTTACTGTCGAACTTGCGCAGTGTTTCCTTGGTGGTGCGCACCATGCGCTCCGCCTGGCCGTTGGTTGCCGGGTGGAAGGGCGCTGACCGGACGTGTCGGATTCCACAGTACCTCGTGAAGTCCTGGAACTCGCTGGAGGTAAATGCTGTGCCGTTGTCGGTCACCAGGGTGTCTGGAAGGCCGTGGGAGCTAAAAATGTGGCGCATGGCTCTGATGGCGGCCTTCGAGGAGGTAGACGGTACAGGCACCACCTCCAGCCACTTACTGTAAGCGTCCACTAGAATGAAAAAGATTTGTCCCTGAAACGGCCCCGCGAAGTCCAAGTGTAGCCGGGACCAAGGTTTGTGGGAAGACTCCCAAGCTCGATCGGGCGCTCGGGGCGGTGCGGGCCGGAACGCCTGGCAGGGTTGGCACAGTTTCACCAGTCTCTCAATGTCCTGATCGAGGCCGGGCCACCACACATAACTCCGAGCCAGCGCTTTCATCCGCACCACTCCTGGGTGAGCCTCGTGCAATGCTGCAAGTACTCGGTCTCGGAGTGGGGAAGGGATTACCACCCGACCTCCCCACAGCACACAACCCTTGTGAGCAGACAGTTCGTCTTTGCGCGAGGCATAGGCCGCAAAGTCGGGTCCCGCCGAGGCCAACGGCCACCCCCTTCTCACCCAGTCCAGGACGCGGCAGAGGATAGGGTCCTTTTCGGTGCGCCGGGCCACCTCTTTCACGTGAACCGGCTGGTCGGGCAGCGTTTCCAGCAGCGCGATGTGATGGGCTGGGGCCGGGTCAGGCTCCGTTTCCGGCAGAGGCAGGCGGCTCAAGGCGTCCGCATGGCCCATCGCCTTCCCGGGCCGGTGCAGGAGCATGTAGTTGTAGCCCGCCAGGAAGACGGACCACCGGATCACTCGGGGCGAAGTCATCTGGGGGGTCTGGCGGTCCGGGGCGAGCAGACCCAGGAGAGGCTTATGGTCCGTGAGGACCGTGAAGGGCCGGCCGTAGAGGTAGTGGTGAAATTTTTTCACCCCGGCCACTATAGCAAGAGCCTCCTTGTCAATCTGCGCGTAGTTGCGCTCCGCCGCAGACAAGGTACGGGAGTAATAGGCCACAGGTACCTCCCGACCGTCAGGCAGTTTGTGCCCCAGGACCGCCCCGACCCCATATGGAGAGGCGTCGCAAGCCAGCACCACCGGCAAGTCCTCATTGAAGTGTGCGAGTACCGAATTTGAGACGAGGAGGTCTTTGACCGCCCGGAAAGCCGCCTGCTGAGCCGCCCCCCAGACCCACGGCGCGCCCTTGTCGAGGAGCCGATGGAGGGGTTCGGCTACTGCAGCTTTGAGGGGAAGAAAAGAGTGGTAAAAGTTCAGGAGGCCTAAGAAGGCCTGTAGCTCGGTCTTTGATGTGGGGGCTGGGGCGTTCGAGATCGCCCTGGTCTTCTCCGCCGTGGGGTGAATGCCCTGTGCGTCGACCGCGAACCCTAGAAACTCCACTTTGGGCACGCCGAGCAAGCATTTTTCGCGCTTCACCTTCAGCCCCGCCTGGTCGAAGCGTTGAAGAACGGTACGGAGTCGGGTGGCAAACGACGCGGCGTCGGGGGCGGCGATCAAGACGTCATCTAGAAAGGGCTGTACCCCGGGGATACCTTTGAGGAGAGAGTCCATGAAAGATTGAAAAATCCCCGGAGCCACCGAGACGCCGAACTGGAGCCGGTGGACCTTGAAAGCCCCTCTGTGCGTGGCGATCGTCTGGGCTTCCGCCGTGGCGGCGTCCACCGGCAGCTGCTGATAGGCCTGCGCCAAGTCCAGCTTTCCAAATATGCGAGCCCCCGCGAGCGCCGCCAGCACGTGGCTGACCACCGGAACGGGGTACGCGTGGTCCTGCAGCGCTTTGTTAATTGTGCACTTATAGTCCGCACAGATCCGGACGTCCCCGTTTGGTTTGATCGGTGTGACAATGGGGGTTTCCCAGCGTGCCGATGCCACCGACTCCAACACCCCTTGCGCCACCAGCTTGTCGAGTTCCGCCTCGATTTTCGGCCTTACCGTTAAGGGCGGAAACCTGGCCTTGATCCGTATGGGCCGGACCGCCGGGTCCAGGTCCAGGGAGATGGGGGCCCCCGTGAACTTGCCTAAGGACCCATCGAAAACCCGGGGGAATTCGTTGCAAACGTCCGCGAAATCGGCTTGCTGCAGCTGGTGGATGCCCCCGATGGTCAAGCCCAGCGGCTTAAACCACGACATCCCCAGGAGACTGGAAAGCCGGCCCCCCACCACCAGAATGTCCAAACAACCCTTGAAGTCCTGGAACTCCACCAGGAACGTGCCCCAGCCCCGCACCACCACAGGATTCTTATTGAAATCCTGAAGCCTGATGTGTGGTTTGCGCAGAGGGGGTCCCCCGTTGGGACACACTGTCCGCAACGTCTCCTCCGAGATAATGGTAAACTCGGAGCCCGTGTCAAGTTCCATGCTACAGGGGGACCCCTCTATCCGGACCGTAACATGGACTTTGTTTCGGCTCTGACGGGGCAAGTCACCTACCTGGGGCTGGGGCTGGTGGCCGACGGCATTTGTGTCGATCGAATGGAGGTCCACAGTGTGGATGGGTTCCCACTGGTGGCTGGGTTTCCTGGATGGCTGGCGGCGGCTGCGGCAGACCTTGGCGATGTGGCCCTGCTTGTTGCAGGACCTGCAGACCGCCTCGCGGAAACGGCAGCTCCGACGTTCATGCGCGTCCCCGCAGCTGGCACAGGAGGAAGCTGGCTCCGACGGCCTCGCTGGCGGTGCGCCCTTCGAACGGTGAGGTTGTGACGGCTTGCGGTGGAGTTGCGCCACTGCCTCCTCTTCGGAGTCTGCCGAATCCCCTCCGGCTTGGATGCGGTGTACCCGATGGCCGCTGTGGCCCGGACGCTCATTCTCGAAAGCAGCCGCATCCTTTAAAGCCGTGGCTAGCGTGAGGTCATCATCACGAATGAGGCG